AAGGGATGGTGGGATAATTAACTGCATGACAAAACATTCAATACAAACGCAGCTATTTTGCACGATTTAACCTTCACTGGGTTCGCGGAGTAACAAATTAATTTACTTCCGTTTTTATTAAAATCCAACTTGTCAATGGTTTGCCATTGAAAAGGAAATATATTTGTTATTTGTAAAATACCAACAAAAGTAGCAGTAGAACTCCTTCTGCTCTTGTCCTTTGCACGACAGAATCGTTTGAAAAATCATTTTTATCGTGACTTTTTATTATATATCTCGAAACAAGAACAACACTATTAACTGTCGTTCTCGACTTTTTTGACGTTACGACGACAGACTGTCGTGACAATGGGAAGAGCTAGAACGACAGTCGTCTGACAATAAATAAAAAGTCACGATAAAAATGATTTTTCAAACGATTCTGTCGTGCAAACGACAAGGCGGCTGCCGTAAAGTACTTCCCTGGACGAATTCTTGTTCGTCCAGTGAAGTACTGCCATCTCACCTATTTCTGCCGCCAAGTAGTAAAGTGAGCATTACTGTTTTCCGGTTTTCCTCTTAAGTGCTGGTGAGATTACAGGCACATGGGACTTGTCAGCTTCTGTCTCAGTGTGATGAGCGCAGCAGCAATGCCCCTCAGACGTTTCCGATTTAAAGTAATGAGTGGCACTGCAACTGTTATGGACAGGCGTGTCGCTTACCCGTCCCGTCACTTGAAAGAAAAAAAACGTTGACGTCTATAAACCGTCCGCCGGCGTTGTGCGTTTAACAGCGATCATTGGTATGTGCGAGTAATGCTTACTTATCCTGTCAAATGTCGATACAGCGTGTCGCTAGATCCAATATTTTGATATGTTATGGAGCAACACATCACGTAATAAGATTTTATATTGCCAAATAGCGTTCTTTTACGTTCTTCGTTGAAATAAAATAAATTAAACGACGTTATAGTACGTTGTTCTACATCACTTACAAATGTTTAGGGCGTCATAGTACTTAGCTCGCGAATATGTTATATATCGGAAATTAAACTATTATTTCGGGCTCTGTACAGGTTCCATGGTCACGGAGGAGTGACATTTCCAATTTATCCCACATTCTTTGTAAAAAAACCACTCTTCGGCTCTTACTAAATACTAAATACTCTAACTATAGGTAGGAGCACGAAATCATTCTTGTCCTGATTTTTCTATAAGTAAAATCAAATGTATAACGTCTATTCTGTACCCAAAAAGTTATCTTTGGTTGAATGCAAATTGCAACTTTAACAAAACGATATAATAGTACACGTCAATCAAATTTAAACAACTTCCCTGTTGTTGAATATTTTGGATGATTGCCTTGAATTTGTTACCAAGCATCTAAGAACTCAACCGAGGCAAACATGTTTTTTGAGCTTTTCATTAATTCACTATTAGGGCGGTACCTATGTGTACATCCTCATTCCGTGTAGAAGGTTATTTTCAAATACTATTGGCTTTTATATCGTCGTTAATATGCCATGTAAATAGATATACTAAGTATTATTAGCAGCAGTAGAGCCACTTATGGAAGAGTTCGTCCAGAGTAGTACTGCTACCTTACCCATTTCTGCCGCCACGCAGTAATGTTAGCATTTTACTGTGTTCCACTTTGGAAGGGTAAGTAAGGGTGCTGGTGAATTACGAGCACATGGGACTTGTCAACTTATGTCTCAGGGTGACGGGCGCAGTGGCAGTGCCCCTCAGATCTTTGCGATTTGACGCTCTGATTGGCACTGCAGCTGTTAAGGACAGGCGTAGGGCTTACCATCAGGCGCACGGCTTGTTCGTTCCGTCACTAGATTTTATAAAAAAAGTATTATTTTGCACTCGTTATCAAAACTAACACATTCGCATTTTGGTAATTTTCGATATATTGGCATTTCTTTTTCTTTGAGAAATAAATATGATATAAAAAAACCGATTACAGGGAGTTGTAGACGCTAATTATAGATAATATTGACATACCTATAGCTTCAACCAATTACAGAAAGAATTCGTTTCTGCTGCGAGCTTGCAACAGCATCAATAACCTAGTTAATAAAATAGATATTGATATCTTCAATACCAAAATTGTCACAGCGAGAAAATTACTCAGCGACTTTTTTTTTATTTCTTAGGAAAGTCTTTTTTAGTTCTTAGGATAGTCTTTTTATAAAGTTATATAGTAAAATTCTATTTCTATTGATTTTTTTTATTAGAGTGCTTACTTATTTAAGTTACTTTATTTGTACAAGTGTAAACTTATTTAGCTTACTTCGTTGTTTAATTTAGAAATATAAATGTATATACTTCTAGTTTACCATTAATAAATAAAAAAAAAAATAAATAAAAATATGTTAATGACTCAATTATGAGAGTGAGCGTTGAAAATAAATTTCACTAAAAATGTCAGTTTCATTAGTTATGATAAGGCAGTATTGTATAGGCTTTAGGTTTGATCAAGGGTTCCTGAGATTATCAGCTGTGCTATATAGAAAGATCGCAATTTGAGAATTAGAAAGTTGATAACACGGTAAACATAATACCCGTACCTTACCCTTGGTATAATAATGAAGCCACATGTGATCTTGCGTGAAAAGTGTTTTATCACATGAAATCCATAAAATATACGAATCACATGAAACAAATTATGTATATGTGAAATTTTATAACTCTCCTATTTAAGCATAAAAGTTATTGTCTAATTTCATTCCAAGAATCTAAAACTTCTCTCTCAAAAAGATGTCATTTTGTAGATATGACCTCATTACACCACAGAGTGTCAATTAGTTATCGTATTTCTATATTATATAATTTTAATTTTTGAGATTCCTTAAAAATAACTATTATATTTGATTTTTCATAAATAACAATAATAATTAGCCTATATATAATCCTGCTGCTGTGCTGTAGTTCCCACGGGTCCAGTGGGGATTGGAAACTTCATACACGTCTCAAAATTGCTTTGCAGATGTGTGCAGGTTTTCTCAAGATGATTTTCTTCTACGAAAATCTCACGGTAAATTATGAGAAGCTGTAGGTTATCAGTAATCATTAGACTACCACAGCTTATTTGATATCACGTGAAAAAAACCAAACCAGAAAGAAAGAAAACAGAAATGTTATACTAATTCATCTAATTAAAGATAGAATGTTTTATCAAAGGCCAGGCGCTGGACATCATTCTCAAGAGATCAGCAATATTTCCCCTTTGAGTGGCCAAGTTTATGATATGTGGTAACGGGACGAAGAAGTGCGCCTGGTGGTAAGCGACCCGCCTACCCATAACAGTTGCGGTGCCACTCATAGTATTATTAATTTTAAATATCTGAGATGTACTGCTACTGCATCCGTTTCCTTGGGACATGAAGTTGACAAGTCCCGTGTGACGAAGTTTCACCAACACAATTGCTCTTCAAAACTCAGGAACTCAGGAATGAGCAGATTACTGCGTGACCGCAGAAATAGGTATGGTGGCAGTACTATCCTGGATGAACTCTTCACATGAAGCTCTACTGCACTAAAATCTCTACCACTACTGGTTCTGTCTTTGGAAGGAGAGATACCTCACGGCACCACTTATTCCGCTCTCAGAGCACCTCCGCCCATAATCTGCCTTGGCACACTTGGAAGTATTTAAACAGACTGCGGTTCTAAGTCTGCCGGAGCAAGGAGCATGCACAGGTAGGGTTATAGCTCTAAGAGCACATATATTTGTGGTGTCTCTCCCCAGACTATGGCACATCTTTTGTCTTGTCCTGCGTGCCCCTACGCATGCACACGCGAGGACCTGTACAACGCCCTTGGTAATGCTGTGTCAGTCGCTGAGTGCTGGTCCTCACAAACATAAACGTCAGAGTCGACACGCGAAGAAGAAGAAGATGACTAGTTCTACATAGCAATTGCATTACGTGGCACTTCATAAAAATATCTTTATTTTTAGCACTTCGTTTCTCTTTCAGGAGTATTCCAGCCAAACGCTAAAACACTACAACAGGACACAGATCCATCGCGGCCTTTGCGTGACGAAGTGCAGCAATGACACGACCGGATCACGGCGTGATGCGGCGCAGCGGTGTGTCTCGCGACAGATGCGAGTGTATGGGTTGGATGTAAGTAACTATTTGGATAGTAGTATAACTTTAGGAACGCAAACATTTAGATTGATAGGATAATCTCAAATAGTCGAAGCGTCTAGAATAAATGAGCGTCAAGCTACTTATAGTGCTGAGTATCTTAATTTAGTAGCTGGGCTCAGTTTTTTACCTGTTACTTTTTTTTCGCTAAAAAATTTTAGTTATGAATTGTAAAAAAAAACCGACCTCAGAAGTTCGTGGAATTATATTTGCCAAGTTTTATTGAAATCGGTTACCTGAAAGTGCGCGAAACCGGATTCATCCCCTAGTTTGCCAACCTTAGACGTGAAATATTTTTTTTTAATTTTAATGGAATCAACGCTGAGGTACCTTCTTTCCAACAAAATAGAATCATCAACATCGGTTCACAAATGCCGGAGTAACCGCGTAACATACACACAACAAAAAAAAGCATGCGAATTGAGCACCTCCTCCTTTTTTGAAGTCGGTTAAAAAAGAAACTAAAGACTGTGGTAAATAGAAACTTCGTAGTACCTTTAACCTGGCCCTTTTTGACGACTTTGTGAATGAGATTGAGATATACGTAAGGCGCACTATAAATTTCCGAAACTGGCCAGTTACATAAACAATATTTAAAAAGTAATTACAACTTTGAAAATGGAACTCTTTGGCTGTAGAATACAGTTTGTTATATACTAAATCTATGGTTTCATCTGACTGTATCTTGTTTTTACATTGTGGCGTCATTTTAGGAATTGGTTGTCTACATCACCATGAATTTAACTCGTGAAAATTTTCGTAGTATGATTTTCTACGACTTTAAGTATAATTTAACAGTTTAGCGGAGCTTCGCTCGGCTTCAAACTGCTTTTGGCGATGAAGCACCATGCAAGACAACTATTTATAGCTGGTTTGCAGAATTCAAACGCGGTCGTGTGAATTTCAGTGACGAATTTCGTGATGGTCGCCCGTCCACTGCTGTGAACGACAAAAACATGATGCTGAGCGCCGTGTGATCGTAATAGACAGGCATGTGAGATGCCATGAGCTTCGGGCATCCTTAGGCATAGGCATGAGTCAAATACAATCAATACTACACAAACATTTGCGTGTGAAAAAGCTGTGCTCTTGGTGGATCCCACCAAATTTGACTGAGGCTCAAAAAACTGATCGCGTCACTTGGTGCAATGCTATGCTTACCAGATTCAACGAAGGGGCGTCAAATTTGGTATGGCACATATTAACAGGTGATAAAACATGGATTTATAGTTATGATCCCAAAATAAAGCAGCAATCGAGCGTATGGGTCTTTCGAAATGAGCCGAAACCAACCAAAGTGGCGCGCGTGCAAAGTGCCTCTAAGCGGATGATTGCTTCTTTTTTTAATAAAACAGGACACGTGGCTACTGTTGCTTTGGAGAATCGTTGTACCGTGAATAGTGATTGATGCACGACCATTTGTTTGCCGGAAGTTATTGACCAATTCCGTAAAAATAGCCGTAAACGCTGTATCGTCTTACACCACGATAATGCCAGTTGTCACACGGCCAGACAGACAAATGAATTTTTGAAGATGAATAACGTTGACCTTATTAGCCATCCCGTATACAGTCCACACCTGCCACCTTGTAATTTTGATTTATTTCCAAAAATTAAGAACCACTTACGCGGTCAACGATTTTCGTCACCTGAAGAGGCTGTCGAAGAGTATGAAAAATATGTTTCAGAGATTGTAACGGAGCACTGGCATAAATGTTTTCAAAAATTGGTTCATTCGTATGAAAAAGTGCATTAACGTTAACGGAGAATATTTTAAGAAACAATAAATTCATTTCTGACCATTTATAATATTTTTTTCTTATTCATTCCTGTTGAGTATAGATATATGTAGTTATAGATGCGCGGCTGCGCCCGCGACCTTCACACAATAAACATCAGTGCGTTGACAGCCGTCTTTTGATTCACCCGCTCCCCGCGTACGCATATCTAACAGTGGCGACGAGGATGGTTAACGTTACAAAAAGAAAAATGTGCTTTTTTTTGTGACGAAATAAGTTATCTGGGTTATGTGATTAATAAGGAGGGTTTAAAAAAATCACCAGAAAAGGTGAAAGCCATATTAGACGCACCAATACCTAAAAATGTAAAACAATTACAATCGTTTTTAGGATTAGTTAATTACTATAGGGGGTTCATTCAGGGAGGATCTAGTGTTTTAAGCCCATTATATGAATGTTTGAAAAAGGGCAGCAAATGGGTATGGTCTAGTAGAGAAGACAAAGCATTCAATGAAATTAAAAAAGCCCTAACGTCTGAACAAGTCTTAGCGCATTTCAATCCTGAGGCAAAGATAATTTTGACAGTGGACGCTTCACCTACCGGATTAGGTGCAATTTTATCTCAAATTGGAAACGACGGTTACGAAAAACGATATTCCCAAATACAGAAGGAGGCCACTGCAATAATTTTCGGTGTCCGGCGATTCCATCAATATTTGTATGGAAGGTCAGTACCATTCATTTTACGCACAGACCACAAGCCCCTTCTTTCTATATTTGGTCCGCATAGAGGAATACCTGAAGTTTCCGCAAATCGATTGCAACGTTATGCCTTATTTTTAAGTGGTTACAATTTTACAATAGAGTACATTAAAAGTACAGACAACAGCGCAGACTATTTGTCGCGATCCAGTTTGGCGGCTACGACCGACGACGACGCCGATAGCGGGGGTGGCGCGGAGCGTCGATTGCGCGGGGGGGGTCGACGACGTGTGCGACCGCGCCGCCTATGTGTGCTTCGTTGTAGATGGATCGCTCCCATTAACAGTTGAGGAACTACGTAACGCGACGAACAAGGATCGCTTGTTGAAAAGAGTTATACAATACGTACTTAAGGGCTGGTCCAAATCGATAAAAGATACCGAATTAAAACCGTATTATTTGTGTAGACTTGAACTGTCGTATGAGAACGGATGTCTCATGCGTGGTCACAAGGTGGTGATACCAGAATCATTGCGCGAGCGAGTTTTGTCAGAACTCCATGAATCACATTTAGGTATTGTAAAAACAAAAGCAGAGGCTCGCTCACGATTCTGGTTTCCAAAGATTGATGAGGCTTTAGAACGAATGATAGGACTATGTGACGTATGTGTGCAGTTGCGAGCGTCGCCTCCACGTGAGCCTGTGTCACCAGGGCAGTACCCCCCGCACCCTTTTCATCGGGTGCATCTAGATTTTTTAGGTCCGATCAATGGGCGCATGTACCTAGTGATTGTGGACGCTCACACAAAGTGGCTAGAGGTTTACGATATGAATGGTTGCACCACTTCACCAGCAGTAATAGATAAATTATATGATTTCATGTCTAGGTTTGGCTTACCTAATACAATAGTTACAGATAACGGTACATCTTTTATTTCACAAGAGTTTAAACATTTTTGCAGCTTGAACGGAATTTCGCACATGACGTCACCTCCATATCACCCGGCAAGCAACGGACAAGCGGAATCATACGTAAAAATAGTTAAACGGGGTATAAAATCAATCTTACAAAGTAATAATAATTTAAGGGAAAGTAAGCTAAAATTGTTAAAATCCATTTATGATTACCGAAATTCTATTCATTCAATAACGGGTGTATCACCGGCTCAGCTAGTGTTCGGCCGGAAGATGAGATCACGGCTCGACCTCCTGATCCCATACCGTCCACCGTCGGCGTCGCCCCCATCCACATCACTTGCTAACCATGTGCGTGCTAAACAGTGTTTACAAACTAAAGAATGCGGTGGTAAAATTCGTACATTCTCTCTCGGCCAATATGTTTTCTATAAAAAACATTTAAATAATAATAAGTTTACTTGGGTTAAAGGAATTGTAAAAAAAAGACTAGGAAAAATGTTGTACGTGATTAAGGATCTGATATCGCTAGATTATGTTAAAAAACATCAAAACCAATTGATATTGTATAATAAAGGGGCCGGATCAAACGTAGACAATCAGAGACCGGGGGACAGTGGCGTTTATACCTATAAAAATAGTGCAACGGATGCCGACAGCGTCACAAGGTTGCACTCGTCGCTTACGGGAAATGATCAGGTTGTGTCTCCTTCACCAAGAGATGAGAATCTGTTCTCTTCATCTACGACGAGCCACGCCACGCCACAGGATTCCGTATCGTCACACAGGATGACAACAACGAGAGAAGTTCGTCGTCCGCCTTCACCGGAGGATGATGATCATTTTTACGATGTCGAAGAGGCAGAAGAAGAAGCAGAAAAAGTCACAAACGAAGCTGTACACGAAAAAAGGTCAAAACGAGTCCGTCCCCCAGTCAGTTATAACCAATTTTTCTAATCTATAAAATAGGAAATATAAATATAAATATATACGTATAGGTATTTGTCTTGTTGGGGAAGGAATGTTGAGTATAGATATATGTAGTTATAGATGCGCGGCTGCGCCCGCGACCTTCACCCAATAAACATCAGTGCGTTGACAGCCGTCTTTTGATTCACCCGCTCCCCGCGTACGCATATCTAACAATTCCGGAAACTTATAGTGCGCCACACGTACACGCCAAGGTCGACCTTTATCAATATTTCCATCTAGGATCGCTCCATAAACTTATGTCGATGTACCACCTCCTGATGTCCATCCTCCCATAAGATCCAAACCATCGAATAATTCCTTAAACAGTGGAGAACTTGTGACTGGGTCACATTAAGCAGGATTTTATAGTAGGATTCTGAACGGAAGTAATATGCTGTGTTGCCATTTTTAACAATTTTTCTATTCGTCAGGCGCAAGTCCTCAACGTGGATTGGTGTACCTCACCAGACAGTGAACCGGGTACAGGCGGTGCGCGAGCTCTTGCTGTTTTCTGCGTCGTGTTACTGGCGTTCGTGCTCGCTGCCACAGCATTGCACGCGCTCTGTGACTCCTGCTTGATTGTTGGAAGTAGGATATTCAACAATCAATACCTTTTTCTTTTAATAACGTACCATAATCCTTTGCATGGTAGTAGGTAACTAAATGAAACCTGAATGATCTTACAAGGTCCGATTATGACTTTGTTCTTTATAGCAATGAAGAGCATTTCTTTACAAATAATCATAATAATAATAAGCTGCAGTAACGTGCGGTTAGGGTCATTTACAATTTGGGCCCCAGAATGTCTTTGTTTAAAAAGTTTAAAAAACTTGCATTCTTGCACTAGCGTCACAGTACATTAATTAACTGCCTCCATGGCCGAACGGTTACCATGCCGGACTGCCACGCAGAGGTCCCAGGTTCGATTCCCGGGCCGGGAGAAATATTTGTATGGCCTACATTTGTTTCTCTAGTGAGTTTGGGTGTAATTTGTGGTTGTCTATGTGTGTGTCCATGGCACCCGCGACACAGGGTTTCCCTAATGCGGGGCTATGTTGAGTGTGTGTGTTATTATTATTATTATTAGAACTTTTTTGTGGAATTACATTTATTTGCCAAGTTTTATTGGAATTGCAAAAGCGGCGCGCACGTGTCACGACATTGTCGCTGCAACTGCACTTCTAAATAGTGTATGAAAATTAGTACTGTAGCGGCTAGTGGCGGATTTGCAGTCTTGAACATCCTAGGCCTCAGGCCATGTAGTCAGTACTAACCTCCGTTAAGTAGTTTTTGAGTTTATCGCGATCAGAAAGATGTAGGGATTAGGTTTAAGTTACATTATAAGAATGTAACATATCTATATTTTATAAATAAAATGTACGAAAGTGATTTAGGAAGATTGTTATACGATGCGGTGCAGTGCGGCCCGCCATAATGTGCGTGAGCCTTTAGAATATGTAGGTACTGTGAGTTATTTTTTGTTAACTTCAGTGAATTTTTTGTCACGATTGGCCGCCTCTAAAATCTAGCTGCCCTAAATCCGCCACTGGGAGCGGCTGCTGCGTCACCGTGGTGCCATTGCAGCTCTTCTATAAGCATCTAATTACGCCAGGATTTCGGGGAGCTCTAGTGCTAGTATTTTACATTAATGAATTACCATTTTTTCTTACTGGCTTGGCGGAATCTCTTCGTGGAGTTAGTTTAACGCATGTTGGAACTACGTTATTGTCGCGACACTTTTTGAGAAAAGTTAATGCAGTTAGGGCGCGTGCACGTTTGAGGTCTTCGAACCGCCGGATTTTATTTGTAACGTCCAGTCCGTACTGGTGTACATGTCGAGTTCTTAGGTTTTCGCGATTGTTACACATAGAAAACTGTCAACCGTGACCATGGGACCTGTAAAGGGCCCGAAACGTTGGTTTGTTTGAACAAATGAATATACGCGATTTAAATCCGGAGAAATAGTTTCATTTCCTATATGTAATAAGCGCGAAAACTTAAGAACTCAAGTTACCATTTATCTACAATTACGTTGGTAGGTAACAAGTATCTTCTGGCGTTTTCATTGAAACAAAATTGGAAAATCTTGACGTACGACAGAAGCAAGCCGAGGACCGACGATCGCATGAAGGACGTCGCCTGCATGGAAGGTGTCAGGTATGTATTTCTTTCGTTCAGTTAAGTACGTGCCGAGGGTTCGTGTTTATTTAAGTATTTATTTATTTATTACATAGTTCTATGCACTTACAGTTTCCCAAAACGTACATAGATTAGAACTATTAAAAAAAATTTAAAATACAGAATAAAATTACAAAAACACACCACTTTTATACAAATAAATTTTAGATTCTTATTCGATTAATACGAACGAAAACTTCCTTATAAAACTTCATTTTCTTTCCACTATTATCAAATAAATGTATATCTTGGTGATGAGCAACCAGGGCATTGGCCAACGATAACGCCCTACGAGCAGAGGCATGTTGTGTGGCATTACAGCGCGCAATGCCAATAGCAAATAGAGGCTGTTGTCGAAGGCGCAAGTATTTGTCAGGGACATACAACGAACAACGCGCAAACTCTTCCGAATTGTTAATTTTTCATCACAATTGATGACATTAAAGAGTCGAAGTAACAACGCCATCTTTCGTCTCAA